CTCTACCACTTGAGCCACAGCGCCACTTCTGGCTTTTTTTCTTTTTGCTTATGTGGTGCTGAGGAATCGAACCCACGGCCTCAGGCATGCAAAGCAAGTGCTCTACCACTGAGCCACCTTCCCAGCCCAAGTGTGAGACTCTTATCTCCAATAAACCACCAGAAGACCAGAAGTGGTGCTGTGGCTCAAGTGGTAGAGTACAGCGCCCAGGCCCAGAGTTCAAGCCCCACGACCAACCAAAAAAAAAAAAAATCTCTAGGTCTGGGAAAGCAAGGGCACTTCTGTGTGGTTGGTCTTGGAGACACCTGGCCTCCAAGGTGTCCAAGGTGGAAAGGCCCTGGGGCCTCTGGGCTCATACCACAGAGCTCCCCGGCACAGGCCCTGGCTACCCCCCCACCCATGCTGGCTGCAAAGACAGGCAGGACACAGGTTTAAATGCCTTTATTTTTGTGTGGCCAGTCCTGGACTTGAGCTCGAGGCCTGGGCACTACCCTTGAGCTTTTGTGCTCCAGGCTAGCACTAGAGCCACAGCTCCACTTCCAGCTTTTTCTTTTTTGCTTTGCTTGCTAACTGAAGATAAAGACTTGCACTGGTTTTCCTGCTCAGGCTGGCTTCCAAACTCCTGAGAAGCTAGGATTAAAGGCTTGCATGCTTTTAAAGTTGGGACTCTAGTGCCATCGTCATCGGCTCATAGGTTCCATTCGGCTGGTAGGTTCCGTTTGGGCCACCCCACCCGGCCATAATGCCATCAATCCAGCTTGTGTAGTTCGACACCCGCGTGTAGATGCCCGGCTTCTTGCGGTTGCCGCAGACGCGCGAGCCCGACGTGACCACGCCCTCGACCACGCCCCCGCACACCAGCGGGCCGCCGGAGTCTCCCTGTAGTGGGGCGGGACCGGGGGGGCGTTACGCCCACCGAGGCCCCGCCTCTGCTAGCCTCGCGCACCGCCCAGGAAGGACATTGTAGTCTGTCAATCCCAAGCTCCACCCACCAGGGGCCCCGCCCCTCTGCGTGCCTCAGGCAGCTTCTAGGCAGGACATTGTAGTCCTAGCAACCCAAGCTCCGCCCACAGAGGTGCCCTCGGCTACATCCGGCCCCGCCCAGCAGATCCTGGCTCCACTACTCTAGGGCCTCATCTCCTTTATTTTAGCCCCGCTTTCTGCCCTATCTCCAAGCCCCTTTCCAATCCTGGATCTTATTCTCAGCCTTGCATGTGTGTTTGCGTGTGCCGATCCTGGGGGTTGAACTCAGGGCTCGGGCGCCGTCCTTGAGCTTTTTCACTCAAGGCTGGCACTCTACCACTTCTGGCTTTTTGTTCATTAATCAGAGATCAGAGTCTCTCGGACCGGGTGCTTATGTCTATAATCCTACCTACTCTGAAGCCTGAGAGCTGAGGATTGCAGTTCGAAGCCAGCTTGGGCAGGAAAGCCTGTGAGACCTTTTTTTGTCAGTCCCAAAACTCTCTTGCTCAAGGTGAGCACTCTACACTGAGCCAGTTTTTTCTGGTGGTTAATTGGGGATGAGTCTCCCGGTCTTTTCCACCCAGACTGGCTTCGAACTTCGAACCTCAGATCTCAGCCTCCTGAGTAGCTAGATTTACAGGAGTGAACCAATGATACCCAACTCCCACCGCTGCCCGCATCCCTCCCTTGCTCTTCTTACCTGTCAGTGACCCGCCCCTCACCCCATCAGACCACGCCCCCTAGCCCAGAGCCCCTCCCCTCTCTTCACTGGCCCGTAACTACACAAGCTCCGCCCCTTCACCTCAACCTCGCTCCATCCAGGTACCTGCCCGGAGGCCCCGCCCCCCGCGCGGCCCCGCCCCTCCCACGCCCCGCCCCGCGCACCCTGCAGCTGTCGCGGCGGTTGCTCTGGGCGCACATCATGCTCTCGGTGATGGCGCCGTCGTAGTGGGCGCGCTCGTTGCAGGTGGCGCGGTCCATCACGGGCAGCTGCACGTGCTGCAGGCGGTCGGGC